AATATAAATAAATAAATAAATACACATTAAAAATTAAAAAAAATTTTGAAATTTCACCACAAAAAGTACAATTAAAAATACAGTTGTGGTTAGATACTGTCCAGTCAAATTTCAGGAGCTCTGGTAGCATAGTGCCTAAGGCATTTGAGTGCTAACCAGAACGCTGGTGGTTCAAACCCATCAGCCACTCCTTGGAAGGAAGGTTGGGAAATCTACTTCTGTAGTGATACCACCTCAGAAACCAAGGAGAGGTCGTTATGAGTCAGGTCCCACTCAATGGCACATAACAAGAACAATAGTCAAATTTCAACTTAGAGAACTGTCCCATAGAGTTTTGTGGGCTGTAATCTTTAGAAAGAAGAATGGAGAGACTCACTCAGGACATGTTTTCAGGAGGGACCAGTCCATGGAGAAGGACATCATGCTTGGTAAAAGGAGAAGACTCTCAATGAGATGGACTGACACTATGGCTATAACAATGGGCTCAAACACAGCAATAATTGTGAAGGTGGTGTAGGGATAGGCAGCATTTTGTTGTATTGTACACAGGGTCACTAGCAGTTGGAAGCAACTCAACAGTATCTAACACCAATGATTTTTATGGAAGCAGATCACCAGGTCTTTCCCCCGCAGAGTAACTGGATGGGTTCAAATTGCCAACCTTGCAGTCAGCAGCCACATGCTTCACTGTTGCGCCACCAAGGTCTCTAAAGTACAGTTGAGTGAACACAAATACAAACTGGTGTAAAGTATTTGTTAGGCACCAGCCACGTAATAAGGAGTTCTGGTGGCATAGTGGCATTTGTCTGCTAACCAGAAGGTCAGCAGTTCAAACCCATCAGCTGATCCACAGGAAGCAGAGGCAATTTACTTCCATAAAGATTTACAGCCTTGGAAACTCAGTGGGGGTAACTCTGAGTCAAAATCGACTCAAGGGCAGTGGGTTTATTCGGTTTAGCCATGCAATAACTGATACAGGTGATCAGGGGTGGGATCTGATCTGGGACTGCACATCTGCCAGCCTAGGAGGTGACTGGGGGGTGGAGCTCCTGGTCCAGGATGGCACTTCTGTTGGCCTGACAGGCAGAGATCACATGCCTCCAAACATGGGGGTGGCATGCAACTGGAGCCCAACCCAAGAAGGCACGCCTTCAACCTCAGACAGAGCAGGGGCAGCATGTGTGTGTGTGTGTGAGGGGGGGTATCACCAGCCACCAAGTGGGAGGGGGTGGGATATGACCACAGTTCTGGTCACCAAGAAGGTCTGAGAAATAAGGGAAGAAAGACTGTGCCCTTCTGGTTGCAGCCACCAGTCAGGGTATTGGTCTAATACTGGTAGAAAGTAGGCAATTCCCAGATTCCTGACCCAATTCCAAATGGCCATGCTGTGTCAGGCTAGTTGACAATTCACAACTCTGTTTGTCTCCTTATTGTCTGTTTTTATTCAGTTTCTTCTTCTAGTCAGTATTTGATTTACTTCTTTACCCTTCCCTTTGAAGCTCAGGGTTCCAGGATTATAATCTGTATCTGTTTCATTTGGTTTCTTGTGTCTTTGTTATAGAGGGTCTGGAGAGCTTGTCTGCCTAGTCTGCCATCTTGCCACTATTCACCTGTTCTCCTGGTTTTTAGACAGCTCAAGATCTGGACCCTTGTGCATCTGACTCCATCCTGTGCTTCTTCCCTGTTATCTCCTTTATTCTGGAATGCTGGGATTGTGTGATTTCTCAGAAAAATATTTAAAAATAAAAATCATGCACTAATCTATGGGAAGCAAGCCGGCGGCATTTCGGAACAGCTAAGGGAGACCAGGCAGTGAACCACCAGTGGTTCAGAACAGCTAAGGGAGACAAGGAAGTGAGCCAGCAGAGTCTGGAACAGCTATGGGAGACCAGGAAGTGGATGGAGTAGTTTGGAACAGTAAAGGAAGACAAACTTGTCTGTCAGTTTGTTTTACTGTGGTGGGTTGTGTGTTGCTGTGAGGCTAGAGGCTATGCCACCAGTGTTTCAAATGCCAGCAGAGTTACCCATGGTGGACAGGTTTCAGCAGAGGTTCCAGAATCAGACAGACTTGGAAGAAGGAATAGGCCATCCATTTCTCAAAGAATTGGCCAGGGAAAACCTTATGAACAGCAGTGAAACACTATATAAATTACTGGAAAACTTTATGAATAGTCCTGAAACACTGTCCGATATAGTGCCAGAAGACAAGATCCTCAGGTCACAGGGCACTCAAGATACAACTGAGGAAGAGCTGTCTTCTCAGAGTAGAGCCGACCTTAATGATGTGGTTGGGGCAAAGCTTTTGGGACCTCCATTTGGTGATGCAGCATGACTCAAAATGAGAAGAAACAGCTGTAAACATCCATTAATAATTGAAACATGGAATATACGAGGTATGAATCTAGGAAAACTGGAAGCTGTCAAAATGAAATGGAAAGCATAAAGATCAATATCCTAGGATTAGTGGGCTGAAATGGCCAAAATGGTTCTGACCATTTTGAATCAGACAACCATATAATCTATTATGCTGGGAATGATGAATTGAAGAAGAACGGCATGGCACTCATCATCACAAAGAATGTTTCAAGATCTATCCTGAAGTACGATGCTGTCAGTGATAGGATAATGTCCATACACCTACAAGGAAGACCAGTTAGTTAATACTACTATTATTCAAATTTATGCACCAACCACCAAAGCCAAAGATTACGAAGTTGAAGACCTTTACCAACTTCTGCAGTCTGAAATTAACCAAACATGCAATCAAGATGTGTTAATTATCACTGGTTACTGGAATGCAAAAGTTGGAAACAAAGAATTACCGGTAGTGAGAGAGTACGGCCTTGGTGATAGAAATAATGCTGAACATTTCATGACAAAATTTTGCAAGACCAATGACTTATTCCTTGCAAATACCTTTTTACAACAACACAAACAGCAGCTATACACATGGACTTTGCCAGATAGAGTACACAGAAACCAGATCAACTATATCTATGGACAGAGGCAACAGAAAAGCTCAATATCTTCAGCCAAAACAAGGCCAGGAGCTGACTGTGGAACAGACCATCAACTGCTCATATGAAAGTTCAACTTGAAGCTGAAGACAATTAAAACAAGTCCACAAGAGCCAAAATATGACCTTGATTATATCCCTCCTCAATTTAGAGACCATCTAAAGAACAGATTTTGTGCACTGAACACCAATGACCCAAAACCAGAGGAATTGTGGGATGACATCAAGAAGATCATTCACGAAGAAAGCAAAAGGTCATTAAAAAGACAGGAAAGGAAGAAAAGACCAAAATGGATGTCAGAAGAGACTCTGAAACTTGCCCTTGA